AGTAAGAGACGGTCCGATGTCCACACTGTTTCTCTGAGAAACAGAAGGCTCACCTGTACCAGATGTATTGGCGCAAAAATAATAGATGATCTGTAATAAAAAGAAATAGTTGTCCTTTAACTATCATTTCCATTCTTAAAACGAAACTAACCTCATATATAAAAAAAAAAAAAAAAAAAAAGCTAAATCAGCAGTAAGAGACGGTCCGATGTCCACACTGTTTCTCTGAGAAACAGAAGGCTCACCTGTACCAGATGTATTGGCGCAAAAATAATAGATGATCTGTAATAAAAAGAAATAGTTGTCCTTTAACTATCATTTCCATTCTTAAAACGAAACTAACCTCATATATTATAACTTTTACATGGCCATATATTTTTTATATTAAATTCCAAGTTTGTGTGTAATTCAAACATTTAAAAATTTCCTAACTACGAAATTTAAAAGTGGTTTTAGATGTTAAATTTAATCTAAGAAGCTTTAATCAAACCGTGACTAGAAAACATAGTAATTGCTCTTTAAAACAAAAAGATATTAATTTGAACTTAACAAAAATATAAAAAATGACAGTATATTAAAGCGAGGAAGTCTATGGAAAACAAAATTTCAAACACATGTCTAAAAAAATTGTATTACAGAGCAGGCATGGAGGCACACAGCTTTAATCTCAGCACTCAGTAGACAAAGGCAGGTGATCTGTGAGATCAAGGCCAGCCTGGTCTACACAGCAAGCTCTAGGCCACTACAAGGTTTAAAATCTGTTTTATATCATACACACACACACACACACACACACACACAACACATACATCACTTGTGCAAGTAGCTAGGTACACAGCAAAAGAAAAATGTCTGAAGGATAATAACATCATAATCTCTAGCTTGTAAAGTAAGGAAAACATAATTCTGATGTGTGGTCATTTATATTTTCAATTTTTCTGTAATGCTTTTTATCAGTTATAAATAATGTAAACTGAATATACTAGAACTTACTCTGTTGAAATACAGAACCATGTTAATTACAAGTATTCGATTTCTTTAAAACTGAATTTTCTCTTTGTATGGAACTTAAATCCACCATAATAAGGATGGATTTAGAGGCCAGAAAGACAGTTGCATTCCCAAAGAATGATGTGAGCAAGTCTCCTCATTTAAAAACTCAAAAGGTTAAAGCCATTACCTCACCTCACTGGTCATTAATATAACAAAGCCTCATAACTCAATAAAGCTAGTGTTCTATTCTTTTTCATGCTCCTGTTTTTTCACATATAAGGTCTATCAGTGGTTAAACGAATGCCCAGGCTAATCAAATTCATAATTTGAGCACTTTTGACCAGTTAGATCCAAAACATCATATAAACCACTTAAAACAGTCTCTCACAATCTTTTCAACTTCAACATCCATAGATTCTCCAAGATTCATACTGAGCACACTCATCATAGATCATTCCTTGTATAATACATCTATAATGGCTAAGCCTATGCTATAGTTTAGTTCTAAGCTGCATTAAAGATATTTAAGTATGAAAATATACTACACACATACATATATATAGACATAGATAGATATAAATATACATATTACTACACTCAGACAACATGCATGCTAGTTACCGTCATCATGCTCCATATCAGGAGTCTAAAGAACATAGTTCTAAATTTCTGGACTTTTTAAAACTGAACAGTTATACAATGGGAAAAAATTGTCCACTAACTATATCATATGTAAAAAGTAAGCCATATTTACCTCGGATTGCTTTGGTGATGATGAACGATGCACCATGTTTTCGGTTACCTCTGGTCTATAATTAAGATAATTTTGTAATAATTATACAACATGTAACCTTATATTTCTCTACTTATATTCAGAAAATTGTATACAAGTATCAGTATTTAAAAACCCCTTACAGACTGAAATAACACAAAACTGGGACTGTGTACAGCAGGGGTAAAGATGAGAGTGGTAGTTACAGGCACATGTCAGGATGAACCCTGCAGAGAAGCTCAAGAACTGAGGCTGGAAACTGGTTCCAAATCAAAACACCAATCAAAAGACAAGAAATAATAAGCAGGAAAGGAGATGAAGCTCAGTGAAGAACTTGCCTACCATGTGCAAGGCGCTGAGTTTGATCAAAGACCATGCTAGTTGCCAATTCAATAGTCTATTTCGTATTTGGGTAGGCTTACAGATATCTAAAACAAAAACTTACTTTTTTTGAGACAGGGTCTCACTGTGTAGTCCTAGTCAGCCTGAAACTCACTATGTATATCAGGCTGTCCTCAAACTCACAGATATCCATGTGCTTCTCCCTCCCAAGTGCTAGGATTAAAGGTACGTGCCACCAAAGCCAGTCTCAAATGAATTTTACTTAGAGGAAAAGTTAATATCCATTGTCTATCCATTGAGACTCTATTAACAAAACACAGATATGTAATTGCTACATTAAATAATTTGATTCCATAAATATAAACTGAATGCCATTGTTTATAGGACAAAGAATAACAGATAATTACATATAATATGTACTAAACTACTATCAAGAAAAATAAATGAGGGGCTGGAAAGATGGCTCACCAGTTAAGAGCACTCTTACAGAGGACCCAGGTTCAGTTCCCAGCACCTACATGGTAGCTAACAACTGTCCATAATGTCTACAACTCCAGTTCCTGAGGAGTCAATGCCCTCTTCTGGACTCCACAAGCTCTGTAGACACACTGTGTACTTACATACACGCAGGTAAAACATCCAATATACATAAAATAATTTTTTAAAAAAATATGGGTTAGAAAAACGGCTCAGTGGTTAAGAGCACTGGATGCTCTTGCAGAGGACCTGGGTTTGATCCCCAGCACCCACATGGCAGCTAACAAGTGTCCGTAACTCCAGTTCTAGGGGACCCAATGCCCTCTTCTGGCCTTCATGGGTACTGCACAACATGGGTGCTCTTACATACATGCAGGCAATATACTCAAACACACAAAATAAAAAATTTTTGAAAGAAAAATAAAAATAAACACAACAGTAAGTAAAGATACATTGTTCTTTAAGAAATTCACTCAACAAACATGAATTGATCATCTAGAGACATTCTGGCCCTGGGGAGAGATCAAAAGATGAATAAGATGCAGCTGCCCTCTAAGAGTTTATAGTTCAACAGCTGCAACAAACAGATGTAGACATCACAATGAGAGAGAGAGAGAGAGAGAGAGAGAGAAAGAGAGAAAGCAATGTACTATGAGGTTTCACTCTAAGTTGATGCTGTGCTGTTCTTTTTAATACATGTTAAGTATTCTAAAACATTATTGCAATTAACCAGACATTAAAGAAATGTTAGTTGGATCTTTTACCCAATTAACAAGCAGCAGCAACAGCCTCTTAATTTCATAATCCCCAAAATGTTCATATCCTTCATGATAAATAGAACCTAGGTAAGTATTTAAGAACAGTAACATATGCAGGTCTCTACCTATAAAATACATTATTCAAAACAAGCAGAATAAACACTGAAAAGATGATAAAGAGTTCAATGGGCTGAACACAAGGTCTTTTTTTATCTTACTTCTTCCCCTGGGTCTAAGAATAAAGTGAGAGTTAGGTACTCAATGTGTATCTGTCAGATAAATGTGGGCCTGAGGCTCCTAGTCTTCACCCTGTGGCTGGAAGGCCCTCCCTATGAAACTAGTAACCCCAGGGTGCAGTTCCTAAGTTACAAGCCACCATAACTTTTCTAGCAGAATTCCCCAACAGTCAGTAGCTTCTTCCACTTCACTCCCTCGCCATGCTGCCAGGACAGCTACTACGCAGCTTACCAGGCTAGGTCATGAGAAATGTACCCTAGGTTGTCTCTCCTCCAGATTGGAAGTTCCAGGAAAAACTGAATCCACAGGACCTCGTACCATATCTGGGACCGGGGTTTATGCACACGCTCTCACACTCTGGTTAATGCTTATTACTGAAAGACAAGAACTAGGCGATTCAGCCCAGCTGAGCGGTAAGGGGTTAGACCTCCTCAGCTGAGGTGAAGGCTAGTCCGGGAACATTCTCTAGCCTCAGATAGCCAGCCTTCGCCAGTCCGCCATAAGGAGCGAGGAGTCTGGGTATGACAAGGACCTCCTCATAGGAAAACGGAGTGACACTGACAGCCGGAGGGAGGACAGTTGAACTCCAAGCCCCGGCAGACTGCAGACCCTGCAGCCACGCCGTTGCCAGGCGACCGCACAGCTTGCCTCCCCCCACACCTCAGCGAGCTGCGTGACACGGCGACGTGGCTCTGCCCGACCGAGCCCACCGCCTTCGAGGAGGAGCCCGGCTCACCTGTACTTCTGTCTCCGGCGGCCACTCGGTGTTGACCAACAAGTCATAAAGAATCGTCTCCTCCTCGTCTGCAGAGCCCGGGCTCCAATCCGGCGCAGACCCTGGGGCCGCCATGTTGGCCGAGGACTGAGAGGAGGAGGGAAGGGCGCTACGGCATCCCACACCAGACATACTTCCCTCGACGCGGCCGCTCTTGATTGGAAGAATGTGAAGTAGCTTGGGAAGTGAAAGTTGCTGCCAGAGCCTCCCAGGGCTAAAATCACAGATGTGCCCAGCGCTGGACCTTCATCTATATAGGTAGAAACTGAATCCGATGGACAAAGTCTGAGGAAAGTATTTCAATTTGGGGGAAATGCCGTGCACAAAAACAGAAAAATTAATTTGAGAGGAAAGAAGGGTGAATACAGGCCAAGTTGAAAAAGAGTGTAGAGGGCAGTAAAGATTAAATAGTAGACTGAAGAACCCCTAGAGAGGACTCACCTCATTTGTTCACTTATTCATTACACAAGTGCCTCTATGGAAGACCCTTGATTGTAAGCAGAGCCAGCTGTGATCTGAATGACTGCACGGTGTACAAGTTACAAGCACTGTCTTCCACTCAAAAGAAGCACAATTTTCTAAGTTATCTTTCAGAAATTGTACTGTACAATGTCCATCCAGATACATTAGGTGCTGGCACAACTAAAAGTCACTACTAGAGCTCTTGCTCCCTGTGCCTGCTTGAAGATGTGAGCTCTCTGCTTTCTATTCCTGTTGCAGCCACCTCCTGATACCATGCCTCCCTGCCATGATGAGCTGTTGTAATTCCCCTGGTCAAATAAACTCTTCCTTCTATTTAAAAAAAAAAAAAAGGCATTACTAGAAAGCTCCCATTTCTCTCCAAGTTAAATGAACTCAACGCCAAATACTTTTGCCTGTACCTTGTAGTCTCACAACTGAGTCATTGTTGCCCCGTGTACCTTCAGCCTTGCTATTTCTGAATAGACACAAGTAAACATCAGAAACTCTGACAGGGCTGTTTCTTAGGCATGGAGGGTTTCTACTTGATATTCTTTGGCTCTCTTGGCTCCTTCAAGTTTTGGTTCAAATGCCATCTTCCTTCCAAACTCTACCCTGCCTACTCACTGTTAAATCTTCAATCACCTCCACCACCCCACACCAACTCCAGCTTTTCATCCTCCCCATGCCTGTTCTGTGTTTTTATACACAGCACTTGGCATTATCTGAGGTGCTCTGTGATGTATAATTTATTATATTTATCTATTGTCTGTCCTCATCCTCCAAAATGTAAGCTCTGGCAGGCAGAGTACACTATCGTCTTATACAACAGATTCCACATACATCCTTGCTGTGCCCACAGAGTTTAAAACAGTACGAAGCACAGAATAAAATATATAATATTGTTCAAAATAACTTTTTTTGGTATGTATGTGTGTTTGCATGAGTGTGTGTGCAGGTGCCCACAGAAACCAGAGGACAACAGATCCCCTATAACTAGAATTACAGGAGGTTGTAAGCCACTCCAGGGGGTTGCTGGGAACAGAACCTAGGTCCTCTGCAAGAATAGTAAGGGCTCTTGACCACAGAGACATCTCTCTAGCCCCCCCACACAAAAAAAAACTATTTTTTTCAAACTTGCTATTTTGTCCAGGCTAGCTTAGAGCTGCTAATCTCAAGCAAACCTCTTGCATCTGTCTTCTGTGTAGTTCTGACTAAACCAGGATTTTTAAATAACTTAATTTTGCACACTGTCTCCTTAAAGTATTTCTTTTACAGAAGCTATGTCTTTTCATCCAGCTCCCCATTGCAATCCCCAGCTTTTCCACTTCCCAACCCATTCAACTTGAAGAGTTACATACCTGCAGAGTGCACTGCTCACCTGACACAGTGTAGAATGTGAAGAACTAGGAACGCCAGGGAAAAGAATATGAAGATGTCCAGTGAAGTCACACAGTGCCTCAGAACAGCGTTCACCTCCACCTGAGTACCAGGTTTCCTTGTTCATCCCTCACCTCTTTCATCCTTTGACAAATATTTGGATTGTGTTTGCCTTTTTTCTTCATCACTTCCACCTGATCACACAAATATAGCTCACAAAGGTGCTTCCTTCTTAGCTGCTACGCAAAAGAGAATGTTACAAATACATTACTAATATTTTTCCTTATCATATTTTGTACAATAGGAAACATAAGAGTGATTGACCTCTGGAAGATTCTATTCTAAATTTTATAAAGATAGCAAAATGTGTTACAGGCTGAAACTAGTTCATTGGAGAGTGAGTGCACATACAACTTTAGCAATTCCTAGAAAGACAATTATTCTTACAGACATGTTATAAGCAGATGGGAAATTGTTAAAACCTCTCCTTAAACCCAGAGAGTTCTTAGAATGATATGACACATCGAAAAGGAAGCAGATGGTAAGAATATGAATGTCATGATAACAATTTAAAATGTGGACATTAGACTCTGGGGTTGAAAAAGAAAAAGCAGTTGGTCAAAGTTCAGCTGACTCAGAAACAGAATGACTTAAAACACTTTGAGACCAAGCAAGGTGGCATAGGCCTTAGAATCCTAGCTACCTACCCAGGAGGCTTAAGCAGAAGGGTCACTAGTTTAAGGCCTGCCTGGACTACAGAGTAAATTCAAGGTCAGCCTATGCAACTTAGTAAGAATGTTTCTCAAAAATACAAACTTGAAAGAATTATGAATGTAGCCCAAAAGTACAGTGCCTACCTAGAGTGTCTAGGGCTCTAGGTTCAATCCCCAGGACTGAAAAAAAAAAGCTGAGTATAAGCAACCAGATTGCTAATTGGTCTTTCTTACAGTGACTACAGCGGTAATTTTTCATATAGGACACCTTTAAGAATAGAAGCAAATGGTCCTAATAATTATGTTAAGACAACAGACACCAAAAACTACTCTAGGAACACTGAGATGATGATCACACTGATCTTAATCAGTGGACATGACTTGAGGAAACACTGAGTGTAAAGGACAGCAAAACTCATCATTGTCTTCTCTCTTCCTCCCTCATGCTCTGTAGTGACAGCTGTCATTTCTGTCTGTTGCATAGGACTGTCTTCCAAAAGACGCACCATGGACAGTGCCTTTTTCCCAAGCTTAGTTGTTTCCTCTTGCTTAGGATCATCACAGCTAAGCTTGTTGACTGTTACACTCCATAAAAAAAGGAGGGGCAGAGAGAGTCAGCCATATGCCACCAATGAACCAGTTGGTCCTAATCGCATTAGGGGGAAGGGCTAAGGGTATATAAGCAGAAGCCATAGGGAGGTTCTTTCACCATTTTGTGTGGCTGTGGGGAAATCATGATCCATGCCTGGATGGAGACTTTCTAGTGCAGCCTTAGGAGGAGAGCACCCACACTCCTGCAGGTTAACTCTCACCCACTGCTCTCTAAGTAAGCCCAATAAAGTCGCTGGTTTTCTAGACTGTAGTTTGGCAAAATTGTACCTCAGTTGTCAAAAGAACCAAGGCCAGACATGGTTTGTGCCTCCCAGAGGGAATTTTATACACTATCTGTTCAGGACTTTTGCTTCTTTAAGAGACTATTTCAACAACTCTTCTCTCACTCAAGGCATGCAGTTCTAATGGAACCACTGGCCTCCAAAATATGCTTCTTTGACCCAAAGGATGCCATCCCTGTAACATTAAGTATTAAGCTGAAAATGCCTCCTTCAGATTTTTTAAAAAGATCAAAGTAGAGGAAAGGCTACTTGGTTTGTGGGGTCCCGGCATTTGAAAACACAAGTTGAGGTTTATCAGAAGTCATCTTGGATTCACTACATAAGAAAAACTTCAAAGTGACAGACTAAAACAAACACACTGAGAAAGAGGGGGGCGGGGCTCCTTTGATAGAAACATGTCTGAAACTATGGCAGGAAACCTCCAGAACAAAGAAAAGGGAATGCAGTATGGTCTGCACCTGAGTGCATGTACACCGTTCTGCCTGTCACAAGCTTGTAGCTCAGAGCACCCAGTCAGAATATGTGTGTTACCATACATGGAAGACAAAGAAACTGAACTATAAAGGGAAACTAACAGAGGGTATAAAGAGCTGGGTTTTTCTTTGTTGACCAGTGGGCATTATTGGTTATCAATATATAGGTTGTTAGTTGTGGTTTACAGAGTTCTATCACCTTCACAGGTGTTCTGGGCTATCTTTTGGGTATGAACCCAGGAAGTCAGGTGCTAGCATAAATAAACTGCTTCCTGGAGCAAGAAAAGCCTCAGTGTGTCCTCTCTCTGCACACAGCACCTGCAACAAAACAAGTGACAGCTATGTGCTTCTTTTTCCCACTCTTAGTGTATTCCTTTTATTTTAAGCTAATTTCAGTTGACGTTCTATACATCAATGCAATCTCTTGATGTTTCTCCAGTGAATTGTGTAGCATTTAGAGAGAGAGAGAGAGAGTGTGTGTGTGTGTGTGTGTAGTGTATGATCTATGCAGTGTTGCTTCCGTTATCAGTTAACAATAAATGAACAGTATTCACGGTTTACAGAGGTGTTTTTTGTTTTTTTGTTTTTTTTAAATCTTCGCAGACCGTTGTGGTTTGGAGAAGAAATGACCTCCATAGACTCCTGTATTTAAACACTTGCGTGGTTGGTGTTGCCTTTAGGAAGCAGAGCCTTCCTGGAGGAAATACATCACTGAGGGTTAGGTTTTGAGGGGTTTTTAAAAAATACTTATTATTTTTATTTATTTATTTATTTATTTATTTATTTATCTATTTATTTTGTCTTTTTGAAGCAGGGTCTCCCTGTAGCTCCAGCTGTCCTGGAACTCACTATGTAGACCAGGCTGGCCTTGAACTCACAGGG